TGTATTCTCACCATCTATAGGATATGTACAGAAACTGTGGGATTGTATTAATATATGATTTTTTCCAGAAAGTTCCTGAAAGGGGTGGGAAAAATCATTTCCTGTTAGCTTAAAAGGGAAAAAAATTACAGATTCAAAAGCACCTCTAAAATCTTTGACAGTTCTAATCAAGTGCAATCACCATGATTTCATCTTGCAAGATTCATAGCAGCATGAAATGTTCCTTGGATACAGTCGGCAAATGAATTTCCAGAAAGAGGCAATACTCAAAGCTAGTAGGCATTTTTACGGGTGCTAATGCAGGGAGGTATTTTATCTTGTCTATACACACACAAATACAAAAGAAACTTAAATATACTTAAAAAGACTGCAGGGATTTTTAAAAAGTATTTAAATTCTGCAGCAATATGAACTATGAATGCAGAGACAATCTATAATTTGCTGAAAAAAATAGAAAAATGCTTACAGAAGGTTTTATTTCAGTAAGTATGTCTAAGCATGAGTGTTTTCATGCATTATTGAAATGACAGTATACAGGAATCATGTATTGGTGACAACAGGCTGACTGGTTTTTTTAAGTCAAAAGAAAAATGCTTTTAGCTTTTGCAGCAAACTGTGTGTGGTGTGCATGGTCTGCCTTCTGCTATTTGACAAATGCCAATTTTAGTTCCTGTTCTTGACTGTAATCTATATCCAAAAATCATACTGGCTGTTCATCCCAGTGCAGAGTGTCTGTCCACAGGCATGCACATGCCTTAAACCCATATTAAGGGGGAAAGTAAGGTAATCTGCTCAAATACTGATTGAATAAGCTTTAAACAGGGGTGAGAGGAGGGTTTAGTGATGAGACTAATTGGAACTTGGGAACTGGAGTATATCTCTTTCTTTATGACAATAACAACTCCACAAAAAGTATTCTACAGTAGACTGCTTAGCCCTGAATCACTGGACTAGGATCCTATACAATGCATAAGGAATGGCTTCACAATAGTCAATGTTCTAAGAAGGTAGATGCCTACAGTAGCAAACAGGAAACACTAAGAGGAAGAGTGTAGTTTAAGTCCCCCTCTCCCCTTCTCTGGGACATAGCTTTTTAACACAAAAGGAATTTTTACACATGCAAGTGCTGTAGTGCCAGGCCCTTTGAAAAGCACCCGGTACTATGTCACTTGTAGTTGTATAAGTAGCAAAATGCACGTCAGCACTGAGAAAATGCCAGCAACACACTTTTGAACTAAAACACAGAGAAGGTGTTTTAGTTCAAAATTGCACCACCACAATTTTCTGTGTACTAACGTGCATTTTGCCACTAATACAATGGTACATGGTGTAAGGCAGTTTGCATCAGCTCTTGTGTGGTGCAGAGTCGATTGAGTCTGGTCTGAAGCTCTGGTGCATCACGAGGCAAAAAGACGTGTGTATAAGAGACCTTAAAGACTAGGGTCTTTAATTGGATGTGCTTTCCTCTAATTGGGATTCTTAACTTTGAACTCTTTCTTAAAGATAGGTGCTTGAGCCCTTTCTTTGAAGAACAAAGGGAAGATCAGTCCTTTCTTTTGGAACTAAGGGACATGGTTCCCAGTTGCTAGAGCACTTAGTCAGATTGTGGAAGAACTTTTAACAGCAGGGATTCACACCAACATCTCCACCCTCCGAAGTCCTTACCTTAGGCACCAGGATATAGATCTACATGAGAGCACTCACTCAGGATGTGTTCATATTACAGTATTTATAACATTTATCCAATGGCTGTTTTAATGTAAATATATAAACAGCCCTGAAAGCAGTGACTAGAACCAAGATACCCCTATTCCAACACACACACTCTCTGGGTGTGTCTACATGTGCATTTACTGCACATTAAATTTACTGCATAGTAAGTGGGTTTATGCCAGTGTCTATATGTGCAGGCATTAGTGTGCAGTAATGATTTGTGTGGACTGACTTGGGAATAACGTTAGCCCCAAGCCAATCTACACACACAGTGTTATGTGCAGTAAGGTCTCTACACATGCATAACTGAGAAGTAACTAATCGGGCATAAATTTGATACTTGCATGATGCAGGTATCAATTTTATGTCCAAGTTGGCATAAGTCATTATATTTATTGCACAGTACAGGTGTGTACGTGTAGACACCATCCATACTGCACAGTAATTTTTAGTTACTGTGCAGTAATTTTGGTTACTGTGCAGTAATTGTACACATGTAGATGCACCCTCTCTGTCCTAGTGGGTCATTCAGTTTACCATGCCGTGGGTAATAATAGGAAGAGTATGCCTAGAATAGCTGGGTGAGTATTCTATTGTATAAAAAAGGTCAAGAGTGATAGCATACTGTTGTCTATCTTTGGAAGGAAAATGCCTGTTGTTATGATTTGGCATTAGGATCCAGCAACTGCCATGTCTTTTCCCAGCATTGATACAGGGTTGATGCACTTGTGTTCACCACTTTTCCCTGTGCCAGCATGGGGAAAGCATTTGCAGCCAGCACTTTTTCCCACAGCAATGGGGAAAAGTGACTTCTGCCAAAGCCCCCTGCTTCCTCTATAGCTAGCTGACCCCTGCATTAGGCTGCTCTGAGAACATGTATCTGATTGAATACATCAAATGGAATAGATGGAAGACTGCCCATATTTTGAATCCTAATGAAGCTTAGCTGTTGTTATGTGCTGAGCTCCTCAGGAATACAAAGACAGAGATGCTTCAAAATATGGCAAGTAGTAGTAATTTAGCTGCTTGTGAACCTTTAACATAAAAAATGTGGGTTACTAAAGAAATTAGGCACCTCCAGGAGTAAAAGGTAGCTTAACAGTGGTTTTGAGGGCACAAAATTTGGACAGAAGTCTCTAAGTCCAGTCCAACTCTCACTTGAAGCATCAAAACAGTGTGCAATTAGGGAAGAATAGATGACCAGGACAACTAACCCTGGGGGCTCACTTGGGGAGGGCCCAAAAAGAAATTGATGCCATCGGGTGCAATCATGATGATCACACTGGCAGCACAGCAGCAACTGAAAGTCACCTTTGCCACTGTGCTCCATGTGCCCAGCCACATCACTATGCCACTGCATCAAAGTCCAACTGTGGATTTAATCCCCAGGCAACACTGAGAACAAGTTAGTAGTTGCAGCAAGGTAGTCTGTATTTTCCTGTGTTTTATAAGAAATACACTAAGATGTTTTGGCTTGGTCACAGTTTTGTCCTGGGAAAGGAAATAACCCCATTTTGAATGGCTAGTTGTTGGCTGAATAAGCACTATTTTGGCCAACTTAATAATTTAATAATGAATCAGATTAATTTAAATAGCAATCACTTTACATGAAATTGGAGCTGAAAGAATTCTATCACTTCTTAATGAACAGAATTAATTGATTAATCTCAGAGAAAATATCTGAGATATGTGATACTGAATGTTAAAAGAACAGTGCTTTACTTATTTGCATAAATAATTGGGTAAACAAAATACAATCTAGAATAATAACTCATGTGCCTATGAAGAGTGCATTGTTGTCCTCCATTCTCCTGTGATTTGAGACTTCAAGATTCAGTGAAAAATGAAAAAAATGTGTCAGTAAAAATATATCAGTTTCATAACTGTTTTCAGAGTATAATGTCTTCACGTTCATCTCTGAAGTCTAAAATGTCTTTTTTTTTTATTTAGTCATCAAAACCTCTTACTGGGGCACATAACATATCTCCCCCTTGTGACTACAACCTCCTCCTATCTGGTGTCCCTACCTTCTACACTGCCTTTTTCTAGTCTGTTTGAAACATACCTGTGGGCATCACTTTTCCAGTTCTTCAAAACAGACAAGTCCCCATCTGTGAATTCCATCATCAATTCCCTTGCCTCCATATTGTTAATACTGAGCTTCTTCTAACCAACTTTAAGGTCCCATATAACTGAACTGGAATTGGAAAATGGCCAAATAACAGAATGGCAATTAAACACCAATTTCCCCTTGAAGTATTATAAACATTTATAGCCATCCAGATTCATTTTCCAACTACATATAATCAATGTATTGCTAGCAAAGAGACGGAGAGATCCTTGACCTTATTAAAGAATTAGCTAACATTTTTTGTAAATGAGATAATTGAAAGTGAAGTCTAGGAGGTCTTTGTAGCCCTATAAAACTACGCATGCCATGGACCAGATGGCTTTCCAACATATTTTAATAAAAATGTATATGAAAGATCCCAGCAACACCTGATTGATATATGCAACTTCTCCCTACAATCTGTTTTTCTCTCATAATGACTTTAATCTGGCACAGATTTCATTAAAATACAGCAACAGACCCCTGCTCTTTCCCCAACAACAGACTCCCTCCCATCCTCCCCACCCAATACCAGACCCCATCCCTAACCCCAACATCCACCACCAATAAAGCACCCTCTTCCCCATAAACCTATTTACACTGGTGCATTGACAACTGTCAGGGGGAGGGGCATGGGTTGGATGCACCTACAGCTTGGATCCTGAGGAGAGCTGCCCGGCACCCCAGTGTCTTGTCACACCACTGCAGGTCTGGATGCTGCAGAGGCCAGCAGACTGGAGGGTGGCCTGGGGGCAAAGGCAGTAGCTCCCTAGCCCACTCAGCATGCTCTCCTTCCTGCTCCATGGGGCTGGGACCAGCAGGGCCCATGTGAGGAGCTGAGCCAGCTGTAGCCAGCTTGCTTTCAGGGGCTACATAGAGGCAGGGCAACTAGTGACCAGCAGCCCAGGCAGAGGGCCAGCTTGCCAGGGGACCAAGCTCAGGAGTATGGGCAGAGGCCCCTGGCAGTACAGGTAGCACAGCACCTCCTCCTAAGTCCACTGGAAGTCTTGGTGCTGGGCCACAGGTGGCTGCCAGGGGCCAGGCAAAGACAAGGCCAGGGGCTTGGCATCAGGTAGCACAAAGCCGACCACCAGGGCCAGGATGTTGTCAAGGACCTGGCGGTCCTCCTCTGTCACTGCCACCACCCTGGCCACCATAGTACTTTGCCAGTCCTGGGTCTCAATCAGCCTCTCCAGGAGGGCAATCTGTCTCTTCTCGAGGATGAGGTACACCTGGTCCCTCTCCTGCTCTTTTACCAGGTACTAGGTTCACCAGGTCCCAGAGTCTGTCAGCCAGTCCTCCACCATGGCCAATTAGTCCAGCAGCAGGGTCCGGTCCTGGGTCTGGTTCTGGTGGAAGTGGCACATGCAGAGGGTGCTGGCTGTTGGTGGTCGCATCCTTGTGGCCCCCATCTCCACTGATGGTTGGTAGTTCTCCCCAACATGCAGTTGCTGGATCTGCAGAGTCAGGACAGAAAGGCTCTTTGTGAGAATGCAATATTTCAGAGAGAGCATGAACCATACCAAGGGGTTGTGGATTGCCTGGCCTCAGTTCAGGGGTTGTGCATGAACAGGTGCCCAGGGACCATGGTAAGTTGGCAAGGTGGGCCCTTCCACAGGAAACTGCCACTCTTACAGAGGGGCAGGCGGGCCACTTACCACTAAAAACTGCCTTCCCTATCCCCTACCCAGGCTGGGCCAGGACTGGCTTCTGCCAGCAGCTATCAAAACGGCTCCAGACTAACTCTCCCTTTCTCCTTTCTATGCTTTGTTCCCATGCAACCAGGCCTCTGACTCCTGGATTCTGGAGGTGAAGGGCTCCTTCCCTTCCAGGATGCAGAGAAGGTTTTCCCCCAAACCACTGGCATCTCTCTCTGGAGAGGCAGCCTGGGCCAGGGCCCCAGATAAGCATGGTTTGCAGTAGGCCTGTGAGAATAGGCAACTATTTGATTCAGATTCGGATTTGGCCATTTCAGATTTGGCCAGTTTGATTCAGAGATCCAAATTGCTTTTCTGATTCAATTCATCTGAATCGATTAGAAAAATATTCAGAAAAGATTCGGCGATTCGGAGATTTGGCCGTAGGGTATAATGGGGAATCAATGAAATATCTATAACTTTGTTGTTTTTTGGCTGAATCAGATGAAACTTTCAGGACTCATAGCTGCTGCTAAGGGTATAAGGTCTGCCAAGTTTCAAAGTGATAGGTGCATGGATTTCTGGGAAACTGCACCTTATATCCTGAAAGCAAAACTCATGCCACGTGTGTATGTTAAACCACTGTGGGGTGAAAACTGCACGGGTGATAGCTCTTGCTGAGGCCACAAAGCTGCCAGGTTTCAAGCAGGTAGATGAAGGGGTTTCTGGGAAACTGCACCTCAAACTGCTAACAAGCAAAACTCATGACATAGGTGTGCACTGTGTGTGTGTTAAAGGACAGGGGGCTGAGGGGGGGGGGGAAGGTGGAGGGGGAGTCTGGGTTCTGGGGCTCTGCACCTCTGGCCACAGGCCAGCAAAACTCAGACATCTGACTCCACAGGTACCTCTGCACTTTTACCAGTGCTGCTACATCCCCCTCACCCTCCCCACCCCCCACCCCAGCCTGTGTCTCACCCCCTGATGCCTCCATTTCCATTTTCACTGACTTGCTTGCTTCCCTGCATTGTGTGCCAGGCCACCCTATGGCTTCCTTACTATTCCTTCCATCCAAGACCAGGAGACACATCAACTGGCAGTATTTCCTCATCCTGACAAAGGGTTTTTCAGCCCACAAGCTTCCTAAGATATATTTTCCTAACTATTTTTTTCATAATAAACATATAAACATAAAAACACAAGATAAGCCATCACACACCACAAGTAACACATATCCAACACGATAGCTTTACTTCTTGCTGTCAATTCCTTTATAAAAAGAAAGGCTTTGTGACACTCGTGTCTGGGTACCGTTGATGATGCTGGTGCTGTTGGTGTTGAGCCAGTTAAGTTATTTTGACCTGTTATTGTTTACAGTGGTGGACCAGTCTGAGGCTGTAGGGGAGAAGGCCTCATGGGGGCACACTGCCATGTTGTGCAGAGGTCCCAATGCCAGGAAGGGAGCGCCTGAACACATACACAGTCCCACAATCACCCATGTCACGAGTTTTGGCTGCATGCGGCCACAGGTGCAGGGCCCCAGGACCCAGACTCCCCCTGCACCTATCTCCTTGACAGCTTTGTAGCCACAGCAGGGGCTACCACCCCTGCAGTTTTCACCCCACCTTTGCCTTAACATACACACACAGTGTCACCTATGTCATGAGTTTTGCTTGTCAGCAGTTTGAGGCGCAGTTCCCCAGAAACCCCTGTGCCTATCTCTTTGAAACTTAGCAGCTCTTGTGGCCTCAGCAAGAGCTACCACCCCTGCTGTTTTCACCCCACTGTGGACATCTCATGGGAGGATTGCTCAGCAAAATCTGAGTGGTCGCAAAGCTTCCTCTCGTACATGGATGACCTCTATCTGACTCTAGAAGTCTATGGGCCAACAAGAGGCAAACCACTGCTCGACCTGGTACTGGCTACTGGGGATGACCTAGTCGGCGCCCTAGTGATCAATGGGAAGCGGGGTGACATCAACCATGAGCTGATCACCTTCACCATCTGCCGAAAAGCTGGCAAGTCAGTCAGCAACACGGAAGTCCTTGACTTCAGGAAAGCCGACTTTGACAAGCTCAGGAGGCTTGTCAGTGAGGCTCTAAGGGACCATGACCACAGGGAGAGGGGAGTTCAAGAAGAGTGGTTGCTCCTCAAGGGAGCAATCCTCAATGCACAAACTAAGTCTATTCCATCTTGGAGGAAAGGCAGCAAGAGGGCACAGCAGCCCCCCGGCTCTCCAGGGACCTAGCAGACCTCCTGAGGCTAAGAAGAAAGGCCTACAAAGGATGGAGGATGGGAGTCACCTCCAAGGAGGATTATTCTGCACTGGTCCAGTCCTGCAGGGAGCATACCATGAAAGCCAAGGCTGCAACTGAACTCCAACTAGCTTCGAGCATCAAGGACAATAAAAAGTCCTTTTCAGGTATGTGGGGAGCCGGAGGAAAAGCAGGGGCAACATTGGACCCCTGCTGAATCAGATGGGGCAACTGACAACTGACGCCCAGGAAAAAGCCAACCTATTAAATAGGTACTTTGCGTCAGTCTTTCATCAGTCCCATGGGACGCCCA